ATTCTGAAATAAGAATATTAACAAATGTACGAGATTATCGCATTGTATTGTTAAGATACGTAACGGACAAACAATAATATTCAGTCAGTTTCTCGTAACTGAATATTTAAAAATATAAACTAACAATGTATGTTAAGTATTGAATGACTTATTTTCCTAATAAATCATAATAAGATTACTGTACCAATGTGGTGTCTTGTGTGTACAATGTTTGGTTACACATTTCAGTTTATGACAACACACATATTGCGTGTGTGCTATATATGCATGTTATATCATATGGTGCGCGTATGTTCAGTTGTCTTGATAGGACCCAAGGTTCACTTAAATCTATTATTACTGCATTAATTTGGTATTTATCTTCTGTTATTAAACCTGTTGTCTTTCAGAGGAATCAGACACCACTTCATTATGCTGCAAAAAAAGGACATCATTCTACAGTAGAAATACCCCTGAAAGCAGATGTGGAAAAATATCCACGTGATAACGTATGTATAACACAGTAAACATAACTAACATTATCTTTTACAACGTTCATGTATTGTTGTGAATTTTCTAATGTGCATGTAAACTGGCTGTTTTGAGTACAAGACAACCACTGCATGTGCGCATTAGACTGGTTTTGAAATCAATTTAGATTACTATAAATTATAATCCAATTTTCTCATCAATATTTGTATCAATTAAAATTATTGGATAATTATTTTACCTCTGACATAATAGAATTGAGTCGACTATAATTATGGTTGTAGTCACTGGAATGTATTCGTTTAGTGACCATTGATTATTGTGACGTAAATATATGACCTATCTTGACCCTGTTTAGACCAGGTGATTATGATGTTTTGTGTTCAAGCACACATTGTCAATGAGGCCAGCTTCATTGATATAGTAGGTTAATTGCAATGTACATGGGAATTACATATTTTTATTTATTTTATGGCTTTGTATGACTCTGTGTCAGCACATTGGAGTGCTTTAATCATAAATGTCACACTACACCATGCGGTTCATCATTACGGTCTGCCGTTAGTATTTTGTTTGAATATGAAAAAATGTAATTCTGTATACTGTTGTGGCTTTTTAAAAATCAACGTCTTTAGATGACATAGAATAAGAATATTAACTAATGTACGCGATTGTCACATTGTATCGTTAAGATACGTAAAGGACAAATTAATACAAATATTCAGTCAGTTTCTCATAATAACTGAAGAATATTTCAA